GTTGAAGATAGGCGAATCTGCCAGAAGCTGGCACAGGACAAGAACGCTCTCGAGATCAACCCAAATAGGAAAGCCTGTGGATCGAGGAGTGAGTCGATCAAGCCACGTCTGATCCTCTCACTTGATGGAATTGAAAGCAATCCAGAGCTATCAGCCTCTATACCAATCCTTAAAGGTGGATGTTCCGCCTTAGGGGGGAAAAGATCAACGTGGCCCTCAGCCACGGCTGACCGAAACACAACAGTCACAAATCAGCTGGGATTCTCGGTACTTCTCGGTGTCCTTGCCCTTGCCCAGCTCCTTCGGGCGGTCCACGAGGAATATCTTTCTGAGCGCATTCCTCGAATTTGCATTGATCACATGCCATCTGTTGGATCACCAGTTCAAAATATTACTTTACTTCAAGTGGAGGAAAAGAGGACATCTCATCTCTGATAAAATCTAATGACCCTCACCTGCCAGGTGGGGAAAAACACCACGCCCCACACATGCAGCTGATGCGACAAACTTCGGCAGCTGTGAACTGCAGGAAAAAACCCAATCTGACACAACAGATATGCTTTGAGGTCCAAACAACGAACACAATGTGGCCTTCCTTCATATCCCTTTTCCTTCCATTCTTCAGGATCTTCTCCGGAAAAATAACATCAACCACCTTAAGCGCAAGCGCGCCGCGCGCGAACAGCGCAGCCGTGGCCAGGCTTCAACGTGGTCTCCTCCGTCACGGGGCAAAGGTTCCAGCCCGACGCGTCTGTCGCTTGCCCAGACCAATAGCTGGGCTTCTCTTTGGCGCAGTCGCGCGGCGCGGCCACCTGCCGGGTGTTCAGCAATTTCGGTTGGGTGGGGTGGTGGTGGTGAAGGACATGCGGAGAATTAACGCCAACAGCTGTTTGGAACACACTAATGACACAACAAGTTTGATGATACAGTGAGTCAAGCACTGTGACTGTCAGTGAAACATTCTCACAAGACATCTAGGAGGCTGTTCTGGCTGTTCTTCTCCACTTGCCAAGGCCTGTTGGATGTGACGACCGACCTGTTGAATCTCCAGGTTGTCGTGTCGGGCGGCCATCGCTTTCTCGACCTTGCATGCGACTGCGAATGCCAGACAAGATACTCAGAAGATCCCTCTTCTCATATGGTACACACCAATCACTATAGTATGCTACCCTGTTATAGTGGCCTTAGGGGGGCCCCATTCTGTAGTGGAAATGGGAAGGAGGATCTCATAAGAACATATAAGAAACCAGTGGCACTTGAGTGGCACGTGAACATCTCCTGCATCAGTACATGTCGGCGCCATATCTACAGATAGGACCTGGAGCTGTTGGGGCAGTGGAGGACTTCAGGACTTCTGCCACCGAACGGAAGAAGGGATCTTAAGTTCGAGTCCCATAGATTAATAGAAGGACAGAAGCAGGGTCAACTCCCAGGGATCTTAAGTTCAAGTCCCTTAGATTTCTTAGATGGCCATTGAGTTGTTGAAGGACTTGGACTCCAAGTGCTAACTCCGCCAGGCGACCAACTCCAGCGTCTCGCCACTGGAGACTTCTTCTGGAGCGGCTTCCATCAACTGCGCCAGAGCAGCGAAGACCTTCCGGATGGTCCTCGCCGCAACCGGGCTGATGACATGACGATCCGGGGAGATTCCCCGAACGGGCAACAAAAGGTTGTTTCCAATATTAGCTTCCTTGAGATCCTTTTCATAACAAGTGGTTGGGACTGTGGAAGCATCCAGTTTGTTTCTGGTTGTTTGGGTTGCCGGAGGTGTCAAAGAGCTCTTCCCTTGGACTGTACTTGGATGTCTTTGAATTTTCGTGGTTCCCCCCCAATTGAGAAACCACCCACTAAGAAGCACAACAAACACATGCAAAAGCCAGGCGCGAGGGACGGGCAGTCCCAATTCATCTCTGGATCAACAAGGTTACACCGAGAGCTCTTCATCCAACTGATGCTCCTAAGCTGGCTGGCCCAAACCACTTCGATCAGTGAAGCTTAGTGAAGCCATCCTTCGACCACCTCGGTGAATGAATACCTAGACCCTCGTCAGGGAAAAGTTTCTGCCCAACTTCATCATTCGGCATAAATTTCCGCTCGTTTTCACAAAGAACGCCTAAAGCTGCGGCCTTCAATGAAGATACCTTTCGTCTGAAATCGAAGTTCTTAAAGGCAGCAATACATCTTAGCAACGCAGAACCTGAGTGTGGCCTATGACCCACCTTGTCTTTGTACTTTGCTCCAGGTCCCCCAAAAACACCTCGAACTCACGTGGAAAACACTTCGAACGCGCAAACGCTCCAAAGCACCAAACATGTCTGAGCCCCTAAATCAAAGAAAGAGCGGAATCTGGCGCAGTCCTGGATGAGTCATCTGTCTTCAGCGTCTGCTGCAGGATCTCCAGGGCTTGAGCTTCCAGCGCTCGCATCACCCGCTGCGTGCGACCCACGTCTCCGCCACAGCACAAATTGCCCAAGGCTCCGATGGCGGAGCGCTTCACGTTCACCTGGAAAACGAGTCCGGAGGGTCTCCCGGAGCCGGAGTTCGATCGAGAAGAGAAGTGGTTTCGATATGTTTCGATTGTGAACTTTCCATTTTGGAGTGGGGAAAGCATGGGAAAACTCCCCCAATCCCCTTCGATGATTTCGATGGACCTGTTCATTTTGATCCCAGGTTTGATCCTTTCAACTGACGCAGGTATAGTCCGGCCAAATGATGCTCGGCCCAGGGGGGTCGTTCCAGGGGCAGTCTGTGAGTCCTGAACGTAGCTGTTTTCCTAGGGACGCTTTTTTGAGAGGTCGAGACATGGATCTGTAAATCCGATGCAAATAGCAACCAAAAGCAGCAAAACGAACTGATGATGAAATCCTCCTTTCTGATCTAAGTGGCTTCTTTAGACTGGGCGGACTTCACCAGAGCCTCCAGGGCTCCCTCGGCCATGGCCTGCTCCTTCCGTGCGCAACAGGCGCTGTCCATGCCGGAGCCTCGCAAGTGAAACCCATGTGAGACCGGGTTTGCCTCAGGGGTATGTCCGTGAAGGGAGTTGTATTTTGTGACCGGCAGGAAGTTCATAACAAAACACGAGAGCCAGCTAAACCTAACTCAATAACCAATTCATGAAACACATAGAGCAGCTGCATAGCAGCTGCAAAAACAAGCTAAAAGGAAGACATGGATGACAAACGACCTTCAACAAACACTTAGTGTTAAAGAAATCCAAGGCACATAGAGCCGCCAATGCCTGGGAAGCCCAGTCTTGAACTTGTGGATTCGTCCGATGGGTCATGAGTGCTGCCACCACGAGCTTTAGCGCATCAGCTGCGATGGTATCATGGCCCACGCAGTGCGACAGCTTGATGCAGCCTCCAATTTGGACCTGATTGGGAAAAAATGCGAAAACAAGAGAATCAGTCAGAAAGGCCTGGGAACAAAGCTGGGATGGCTCAAGCGACCAGGTGCTCCATTGAAACATGCAATGATTGACAACCTACAGCGTGATCTTTGGAATCTCATGAATGCAACCTCTCTCGATTCTCCAAATTCTACATCCTCACTAACCTAACCCACTCCCATCATCTCCCTCTGACACCAAAAACGCACAAACACCGCTTGTCAAAGGCACCCAAACATTCTCTGGCAGCGCCGCCATGGCCGCGCATGCCTCGAACACTTCGGAGACGTCGACCCCGCGCACCGCCGCGGAGATCTCGGTGTCCTGGCGGGGCGTCGGAGGCAGCGCCTCGCGGCCCAGCACGGTGCCGCGGCGGAGCGGCGAGGCCAGGGGCGATGCTGGCGACGTGGCTGCAGCAGTCGCAGTCGCGGGGATCGCTTCGGTGGACTTGGCGATGCACTTGCGGCGCCAGGTGCCCTGCTAAGCGTTGTGGGAGGCGTCGAGACCACCAAAGGTGACCAGATTGTCTTTCCATAGGACTGCTCTGTGCCACCAATAGCCCGGTGGAGGGTCGGCTTTGTCTTGGTGGAGCGTCCAGGCTCCGGTGCTGATCTGCAAGGTGCACGTCTCGAAGTGCCTTTTGCCACGGCCACCTCCACCAAAGATCACCATGTGGTCATCGCACATCACGGCGCAATGTCCGCAGCGCTCCTCCGGCACGTGGCCCGTCGATGGGCTCAAGCACTCCCATCGTGTGGTTTCCAGACTGAGCAGCCACACGTCGTTGAGGAAGGTATAACCGCTGCCGCTTCCACCGAAGATCGCCATGCGTTCCTTGCACAGCACCGCAGAGTGGGCACATCTTTCCGGTGGCAGTTTGCCTTTGGGGACCACCTGCTGCCACTCTTCGGAGCGGAGGCTCCACGTCCAGGTATCGTTGAAGCACTTTCCTCCGTCAGTTCCACCAAAAATCACCATGGCATCGCCCCAAAGCACTGCTGAATGGCTGCCCCGTCCTCCGGGCACCTCGCCGGGCGGGGTCTTTTTTCGACCACTCCGACGACCGCAGATCCAAGTGGAACGTGTCTGAGAGCCAACGACCACCGCCGTCGAGTCCTCCGAAGAGGATCATGACTTGGTTCCACAGGATGGCCGAGTGGCCGTTGCGAGGCGTTGGGGGGTGGCCCTTGGGCTTCAGCTGCTTCCAGATTTGAGTTTTTAGATCCAAACTCCAAAGGTCTCCCATGTAGCCGCTGGCAAGCTTGCCCTGACCTCCGAAGATCACCAGCTCATCCCCCCAGAGAATGGCCGAGTGCCGAAATCGAGCCGGTGGCAGCTCACCTTTGCATTCCAGCTGAGTCCATTCGCCAACTTCCATGGGGGGCGGGTTCTCTCGCGCAAGTTCTTAAGCCATGAAGGGCTGCGAAATCACCTGATAGGACTTTTCCCTGGCACGGTCTGCTCTCGTTCCAACATTGTACTGACTGGACAGACAAAACATCGACCAACTCTGTTGGAGCTTTGAATCTGTCTGCCAAAAAGAAAAACCCACTTGGAAATTCCACGGTCACCAACACTTGAAGAACACACACAAACACACGTGAAAGATCGTGAAAGACTTAGTTCCTCTCCAGTTATGCTAAATGAACTTCGAGAGAAGCTCTGCCGACCCACACCTTCTCCCACCCACACCTTCTTCTATCCCCCACCTTCTTCCCTGCCCAGCTGCTCTCGTCGGCGTTGGGCCGCCACTCCTCGGGGTCGGCGCGGCCATCGGCGAAGAGCAGGAAGGACACCTGGCGGAGTCCGCGCCTTCGACCGGCGAGACCTAAACCCTTGGACTCGGTGACCACAGCGGCTCCACAGCGGGTGCACGGAAGTGGTTTGAACGGACAACCGCCTTGCTCCGTTCCGTTTAACGGTTCTTGGGCGTTTCCCGTTTTGTGGCGGATCAGTCTTAAGACCGAGACCGGCCGAGGGCGGAGGCTCGGCCCGGCCGGGGCAGGGCTTAAGGTCGGTTTGGACCGGGCAGAGGATTGGATCTTTTTCCCACCTGCTTTCACCTTCATGTTATAGACATCATTGTCCACTCTTTGAAGCTGAAATTTCAGGATGTTTAAGGAGTGAGTCATGTTTAACTGCACTTTGGCGGATTCCGTGTGGCTTAGATCTTTCTTCTGTTCGGGGTGCTACGGCATCATCTACAGCGAATTCCGCGGCAATTCCCTGGTGACGTGGGGAGAGTATACTACCCAAAGGGGGGTCACATCCCAAAAAGATTCTTGGCCTTTTTCCAGAGCCAAAGGATTTGGCCAAGGAAAGCGAGACTTTTCTTCGTCCGCAACATCCGCGGACGATCCCAAGAGTGGTTGGATCATAAATCTATTTCAGTTTCAATTTCAATCCATCCTTCGCCACGTGTTCCCCCGACATCACAGCATCAAGTTTCGGTCAGAAAGACGTTTCAGCTTCGTTTCCCCTCCACCACCCAAAGAGCACACACTTTTCTCGGTGATGGGCGATGTGCAAGAATTCATTCTAGAATTCGTTTAAATCTCAAACATCATTTCTCATCCTATGGGCTTGAGTGTCACCAGTCACATTTTCCACGTGACCGGTCACATCTCAAGAGGTTGAACTCCGGAATTCTTGCCCGAGTCCACCCTCTTACATCGCCCCAGGATAACACTTTGCACATCTTTCCAGGTGGTCACCCATCTCGTCTTCTTCAAAGATCAACTTGCATTGGCAAGCTGCCTCTATCCAAGGCCATCCGCAAGAAGTCTGCCACAACTTGGGATTCGGGTTGACACAGCTCGCTTGATTCACTGCATGCATCTTGCTCGACCTGCCACTGATTATTGCAATCGGTCGCATGGCCTTCCTAATTTCATTTCGCAGTTCTTCTTTGTTCTGTACAATCCATTCTGGTGGAACTGCTTTCTCAACTTGCTCTTCTAACATCTCTTCCGCGCGCCTCAGGTGTTCTTCAACTCGATCGACCCTATTCAAAGCAGCTGTCACTAAGTCGCACGTGGTGAGAACATCTGACATCTGCATATCCGCTCATGGACACTCTGCCCATGAGTCTTCAATGTATTGCCAAACCACATTTGAACTATGTCTCGACAGCCACTGAATCAATGCCACCGGCACCCCGCTTCTTGCAAGAAATTTCACTCCCGATCTTCTAGCAAAATGCCCCGTCACTCGTTCAATAACGATGTCACAAGCATCATTCACTTCGACTTTCATGAGTGAGACCAGCTTTTGAGCGTGACTGATCATGTCTTCTTTCTCCACGACTTTTCTCGGGTCACATATTTGTCCGATCAAAGGGAAACCTTTACCCGTCACTCCTGCCTGTGTCCGCACCCTCAACCTCGCGAGTTGTAGTTCCACCAGCTTCTTCCCAACATGAAAGGGGCACGTTGACGGCTCCTCACGCTGGCAGCGACAAGGTAAAGCTCTCCATGCGCCCTTGGCTCCTGGGTCGGTCTTTTGTACTGGCAGATGCAAACTAATTACTTGATTGTGGATGTCAAGCTTCACACCATTGTTGTCAACCGTCAACCCAGCGAGTTCGGTCTCACGCAGCACGAACCTTGTGGCTAGGATCCACACCAGCGTACCTCCAGCAGGATTGTTGGGACTCAACATCAGGGTTTTCCCCAACGCGGTTCATCAGCATAGCCCACCATTCTAAGCGCACATCTTCAGCTCTCACTGCTGGTCCTTGTGCGCGCTTGGCTGCTCTCTTCACGTCCCAAATAACATGTTCAGCTTGTTATCCCAAACATATCCAGCTCTAATGTGCCGGATCTTTGCTTCCTGCACATAGGCCGTCACCGCCTTGTATCCGCTTGCTCTCAACACTGCTGCCACCTCCACCATGCTCTGGTCTGTCACTGGCAAGGCTTCCAGCCCTAATCTTCTGCAGATTTTCTCCCACAAGGCGAACAGGGACTCTTTGGTGTTTTGCGTCGTCAGAGCTAAGGTGAGACTCCCAAATTGCTTCACCGCCAAATCTTTCTTAGCGGGATTGGACGCGATCTGAAGCGCCAGTTGAGAGCTACCCCTGTTGGGTTTCCCTCGTTCTTCCCCCGGCACCCATGGTCCCATCCTACGACGTTTCGTCAACACTTCACCCGCCTCCGTCACCAGCCTCATTGGCTCTAGGCATGGCTCCACTGGGGTGACAGGTGCCCTTCCTGTATTGTCACACTCTGGTTCAATGTTCTCTTTGCCATTCCAAATTTCTTCTTCGGTCCACCCCAACGCTCTTCTAGCGGCCACTACTGCTGGAGGCAGTTCCTCCTTCGCAGGCAAAACATCCGCATACGAAAAGGGGGTGAAAATAGGACCTCTACACCCTTTGTAGGGCATGATCATGAAATGGCTGCGGACATAACAACCCTTACGACCTTCATTGTACGACCTTCATTGCTACGCCTTCTAGCTATTCTCATGCTCTAAGATCTATCAGGCACAAGTTCATCCATCAAGAAGCAACTGTCAAGACAACGACTCCGACACACACACTCTTCAAGGGGGCCAGAGTCTGCCATCCTAACTATGTTGCCCTCTTGACACCTGTACCCGTCAGATCTCTGAGTTTCCAGGCTCTTGAGTGCTCCATGATGCCAGCCTGCAGCGAGGCATTATGTCGATCAGTCGATACCGCCTACAGTTGACCAACATGAGACCCTCTCACGGTGTGTCAAATCTGTAAACATGTGATGGACCAATCAGTTCTCTCACCTTTGAAGCAAGAGCATCTTGTTTTCACGGCCACGCACGAAACATGTGTTTGCCTCGTGGTTGAGGGACCAAGCACTTCGCCGTGCGCAGCGGACCAGGCACCGAATCATGCGTTTGCATCCGACTCAGTTGATCTGCAATCTTGTTGCTGATCCCCAGTACATGCTCTGCACGAAGTTGAGACAACTGATGAACTTCCATCTGCATGCTAATCTCAGCGGCCAACTGCACCATCAATGGCGACTTTGCTCTGTAGTCCATGGCTGCTGAAATGGTCGCTGCATTGTCTGTTCTAAGCAAGATTCGTGGGTTGCAATCGAGCTCAGACAAGATAGGCATGAACGTTTCAACTGATATCCACACCGCTAGCAGCTCCCATTCGCTTTGGAATGCAGGGTCTCCCGCTGTCGCTCCCAACAACTCTAGGTCCGCAGCCGTGACACTGTCATGCCAATATGCTGCAAACTTTCCTGCTATCATGAGATATGCTCCCATTCCGGTAGGACATGCGTCCGTCTGGATGAGCACCCATGGGTCGTTGGGCCTATAGCGGAAGACCTTCTGCAGCCCAGGCCGTAGAGCATCCACCTCCTGTATCAGTGCATGAAGCCATCTAACAGCATGGTTGATTTGCTTGAGATATACCAACCTTTCTTCGGACGAGCTGAAGAGCCTTGCTTGTGCTGTGTGGCTGCTGCATACAGCATTGCCAGCCATGGTCGAGTGGCTGGCATCACGCTGCTTGCCCAACCGATGACTCCTGTGGCGTAGGTTAGCAGCCGGAGTGGAATCATTCCTTTGCATGCCAACATGTCGTCAAAGACTTGCAGCAACTTCTCTCTTTTCGGTTGTGCGAGCCTCACCACCACATCACCATATTGGTAGCCTTTGCAAGTCCACCTCATATCCGATCCATTTGATGGATCTGCCATGGCTGACCTTGGACCATGAAATTTCCAGCCCCAGTGCCAGCCAAACAGCCACGCAAACACAAAAGGTTCTCATCCTAGCAAGCTTGTTGGGTCCCATCACTGCTAAAAGTGGGTCATCCACATAGCAAGCCAAAGCGCCCTCTCCTTTGTGTAGTGTTGCTTGAGCCAACCTCATCGCGGCGCTCGCCAGCCGTGCCCAGAGTAATGGCCCCGCAGTCAGGCCGAACACTGCCACTTTTGACACGTGATATTGCGAACGACCGTTCTTGTACACCCGTACTTGCG